GTATGCTAATAACTTGACTTTCTAACTTACAATAATAAAAAATTGATACTGTTCCTGAAGATTCCCGTACAAAAATAATGAATTATAGTGTTTAAAATACCATACAAATATTTAAACTGCAACAGAAGATTTTATTTCTTCTGAACATTTTGTGAAGTAGAATTGCTACCTTCTGAAAATGCCGTGGGTGCTCATAGGTCATTGCACGTCACTCAGGACGTTATCTCAAGACTAAGCATCTCTATCCTCTGAGGCACAGAAGTCAAGGATAGACTTACTTACGTTGGAATGGTAGGACAAGGTACTTCTCTTCATAGATGCTGGAGCACAGCTCATTCAGTGTAACTGTGGATGAGGTGATGTGAAGGAGTGAGTTATACTTACTCTGGGGGACCTGAGGTTGAAATGGAGACAGCATCTTGTTTTTTAATTGTTAATGAGTAGGTTTGTCTCTGAGCTAGGCCCTGCCGTCTTCCCTCTTAGTAACCTTGGGATTGACTGATGGTGCCTGAAAAACATCTGTCACCTGCTCTGACTCATCCAAGTTAAGAGTGAATCTCAGAAGTCTCAGGTTTCTTCAGGAAGTTGAGTTCAGAAATCTTTCATGAGATCAGGTTAAGGTGACTTTTTTTCTACTGTAAGCATTAATTGTCCACAACAAAGAAAACATGCTGTAATCATATTTATGATAGGATTATATTTTCTTGGTGATTGAGCATTTAGGAGGTCAAGATGTTTTATAGCCATTTTTAACCACTGGAAGTGTACAATGTTAGAAAATGCATTGAAAAGATTAGGATTTCTTGTCTGGAAAAACCAACTAAGAAGGAATGTGATTAAGGTTCAATGCGAGTAGAGTGTTGGCACAACTAACACAGATACATTCTCTTACTTGTGGACTTAGAAACTACGGGAAACTTTCTAAATGTTGTCCTGCGCTAGAATAAGAGATTACAGGCCAGAAACAAATATCAATGAAGAGTCAGTGTAGACAAAGATTATTAACTGTGGCAAACGTTTGCCGGTTTCTTTCTATATGTGCTCTTAAACCATATTATCTCATTTAATCTGCAGAACAACTTTATGAAGGAGGTCTTATTTATCCCCATTATACAGATTAGGAAACTTGAAGTTTCAGAGGTATAAGTTATGTCATATAGCTATAGGTTTGTAAAAACATCTTGCTGGCCAGAAACGGTGGTGGCAGGACAGGTGTGGCTCATTCACAGGCTACTAGACCATTACTTTTCTTTTTAAGATTGCTCTGCCCTTTTAAAATAACTTATACTTGATCTAGGGAACCCCATGTGGCAGTTCTTGTGCTTTATTTTTCTTTAGTTTCTCTCCTTAAGTAGGTCATTATCCTAGAATCTTAGGATGCTGACCTTGAAAGAGACAAGCCGACTGCAGCTGTCCTCTGACTAAAAAAACAAAAAGATCTTTTCCTCTTGTTTGGAGGCAGTGAGAAGTTATTTTCCCTAATTTTGGATATCTTCAGGAAAGGCCTGCACTAAAAGCAAAACTCTTCTGTAATAGATTGTTCTACTGTATATTCTGGTAGTCAGCAAGTTTATATAAAAACTAAAACCTCACTGATAGAACTTCTTTTATAGCCTAAGGGAAAGTTAGAGATTGACTAATTACCATTCATTGTAAAATCCCATTAGTCATTCAACCCGGGGAGGCGGGGGTCCTTCAGTGTTGTTTATTGAACACCTACAATGTGCCAGACTTCATACTAAATTGTGCTGAGGCTGATCTTGGAAATCGTCAAGAAGGATATTAGACAACCTACCCATTGTAGATTATTCAGGTTTTTAATTTTTTTGGACCAGTGATGATGTGCTACTCCCTGCATATTATTTAGTTCTTAAACTTTCTGAGATAGTATTATCATCCCCATTTTACAGATGAGGAGATTAAAGTTGAGGAACATTGAGAAACACACATCATGCCACGTAGCAGGGCTTTCACCAGTGAGCTTTTAAAGAATAACAATAGTTTTAATATAGAACTTCACAGTTATCAAAATGTTTTTACTTATCTAATTTTGTAAGCAAAAATGACAGTGGTTATTACTTTACTCATTTTACAGATAACAATACTCGCTTCTATTTATTATATCCTTACTATGAACTAAGAGTGCCAGAAAACTTATCAGATAAGGCCTAGCTCCTCTCATGCTCACAACTCTAATAAGTATTATTATTCCCATTTTACGGGCAAACTCTTGAGGCCCCCAAAGCTTAAGTGATTGCTCAGCACCCTGGGGAGCTCTGAGTCAAGTCGGGGCTTGTCAGCCCAGCCAGCAGCATGACCACTTTGTAATATTCACTTTGTGTGTTGTGCAGCCTAGTTTTCCAGATGAGGAAACTAGATTCAGAGAATGAGCTGACACACTGAGGTAATCCAGCTTATGAATAGCAGAGCTGGGACTCCAATGCAGATCCTCTTATTAGAAAGCCCTCAGGACTGGACTGCTTCCCTGCACAAGAACTGCAAGGCTGTCTCTTATATCCAAGATTAATTCCCTAATTCCTCTGTGATACAGTTTAACTTTAATACTTTTAGTCACTTTTTACATTTCTTTGTTTTTTTCCCCACTTGCAGGCAGGGAGTCCGATCATATAGTAATAATAAAGTAGTACCAATAATATAATACTAACAATGATATAGTGGTAGCATGTTAAAGTAGAGGGAAGGGCACACAAATTAAACTACTTGCTCAGAAAATCATCTGTGAAGTTAGATTAGAATTCACATCTGAATTTGAATCCTGTGTGTCCAGCTTATTTAGCTATATGCTTCTTTGTGTGTATTGAAAACTTTGAGAAAAGGACTTGCCTTTATGAGTTGTTTTCCAGTGCTGTAAGGAATGCATCTTTTTCCATCTGAAGATCATTTACTACTTCTCTGAATAGTGAATTACATTAATGGGGCAAAATAAGGAAGTATGTCTATACTAGATATTTAACAAGGACCACTCACTTGAATTTGAAATGTTGCCAATTTATACAATCTCTGCCTGGGACATTTTCAAGTACAGAAGTTCATTACTTTAATGATAAAGTATCTTTCAGAATTCTGAAGAAAAAGTTTATGCTAACTATTTATATAATACTATATTTTTATTCAAGTTGCAAACTCAGGTTCCTTAAAATTCCTTAAAATTGAATTTGATGATTTTTTTCTATATTATCTACTGATACAGTAAACATTGGATAAATACCCAGATGTACTTAATTATTTTTACTTAAGAAGGTATGTCCTATTTAGACAGTCTTTAAATAGTCTCTGAATTGAACAAATAAACAAGAAATAGCTGAAACTGAATTGCTTTGAGTGTATAGAAAAACTGAGTCTCTAAAAGAGGAATCATTGTAGAAAACTCTGTGTCTTCTTATGTTCATTTTTATTTTTAAGGCTAAACATGGATTGACTGTTCAAATACATTAATAGCTTTTGAAAAGTCAGCTTTTCATCATTTCATTTTCAGAGATTGATAGCTGATAAACCCATTCCAAATGTATCCACTCCAGTTTAGATGTGTTTTAACCATGGAGTGATCCATGTGTCCCCAAGAGTTTTATTTTCTTTAAAGACAAAAATTAATACTTAATGAGTGCTTTCTGTGCTAGTCCTCTCATCATAGTTTTTTTCATATAATTCTCACCTTCCTGTGATTCAGGCATTACTATCTCCTTTTACAGATGAGGAAACAGGTTTAGCTTGGCTGTGTACTTAACCCAGGATCACATAGCTAGAAAATTGAAGTGTCAGAACCTGAACCTAATGCTGTAGATTCCAAATTCCATTGGTATTCTGACTTACAGAGCTCATAAAAACTTGATATATCAGATTTTTAAAAATTATCAAAAAACTTTTAAAATTAGCATAAAATATATGTTAAATTTGTTTATGATTCTGTTTGGTTAGCCCTCAAGTAAGATTCAAACAGTTGAAGAGGCACATTTTTCCACCCTGGAAACATATAGCAAATTTACTTTTTTTTTTCTTACGTAGACTGAAACTCTTTTGATAAATCTGCTTGACTTTGGGTTTATGCCTCCAAGAAACTCCATAGAGATCTATCAGAAGATATTGTTAATGCTCGGCAGTTAGCCCTAACCTGTTGACTCCTCATTATTTTTATTATTATAGCAACTGTAGGCAGCACCAGGTCATGTTCCAAATAAGTGACATTTTTTAAAACAGATTCCACGAGGGTTGAAGACAATGCCCTGTTCTGTCTTGGGTCATTTTCTTAGTGTAGGAAATGCACATGCTTAATGTTGAAACAGTCTGGTAATGAAGCTTTTCAGTTCTTAATGGTAGTTAACTTTGAAATTAAGTTTTTTTTTCTTAAAGGTTATTTTCTGAGTTAGTTTTAGCATGATAATATAAGCAGCTCCCCTTCTTCCTGTTCTTCTTGAGTGCTGTCCCCTCTTTTTTCATCTTTCCCCCCAGCCTTCAGATCCCCTTGCTAGAAAGTGCTCACTTATTGACCTGCTGAGGCAGAAAGTGAACCATGCCGAAATCACGCACCTTCAAAACCAAAATGCATGTCTGAAAAAAAGGCAGTTCACATGTTCTTTAATCGAGTTAATTGTTCAAAAATTTTTTTCTCACTTAAAAAGTATTACATGTCATTGAAGTAATATTAGACAATACAGAAAACAAATAAAGCGTAATTCAATGTTGTGAAGATAACTGAAGCAGACTGTTTTCTAAATGACTGTTAGACTTTCCAAATAGAAATGTTTATGTGAGATAGAGACATGTTGTCCTTATGCATGATCCATTTTGTTGCTTTCGTTTCGACTCAAAGTCTAGAAAGCTTTGAGCTATATAGGGCCCGAAAAAGGGTGGGGTTGTGGGAATAAACAGCCCTTATGCATCCTCATTTTTCTCTCCCTCTGCTTTCTGTGTTCTAAATTTTGGGTTGCATGTTTCCAGGCCACAGCAGCGTGTTTACTAAAGATTTTTGTTCTTTTTCTCAGATCCCAGGCAGGCACAGTCTTCCCCGCCGTGGTCCTATGACCAGTCTTACCCCTCCTACCTGAGCCAGATGACGTCCCCGTCTATCCACTCTACCACCCCACTGTCCTCCACACGGGGCACCGGGCTGCCTGCCATAACCGATGTGCCCAGGCGCATTTCAGGTAAAGACCACACTTTAACTGAAAACCCACCCCATGCAGGGGTGGGGCTGGGGATGCAGCATGGACTAAGGCTGTCTTATCTTGGCTCACAGTAACTCCAGTAGAGGCACGTGGGCAGTAGGCAAACCAGGTCTTCTGAATTATGGGGTTTATCAAATCCTCGAACATTTTAAGTCCAGAGATTGAAAATCCACCAGAGATGGCATAATTTTCAATATTTAATGCCACCCAGATTTAGTTTTGGTGAATTGTATCCCTTTGGGTGGGCACTGTCTCATAACAAGGGCCTTCTCCTGAGGGTCTTATGCCAGGCCTTCCTCTGCTTGCATTCCTTTCTTTTCCTAACATCTGCCTCTAAAGCAAATACAGATTCACGGCTCAGTCCTCCGTCTATAGGCTTCGAAATCCCAGGAGTTCAAACTAGTTATTTCCCAGTGAGAGCACCTGCAGACTTAAGATCCTTATCAGAAACTCGTCATTTAAAGTGCACTAAGGCCTTTTACAAGGCCTTGTGTGGCCTCTTGAGGGATCAACTTGGAGCAAGGCAGCCTTCTTGTGAATTCTCCAGTGCACCACTCGTGTAGCGGCCCCAGAGCTCACACTTCGACTGTTCCAAAGGCCCCACAAAAATCTGTGGCTCATAGTGGGAGTGTGTGTGGTAAACCACCAGGCTGCCCTTTTCTGTAATGGGAATTCATCATGGGGAACAAGAGAGTGTCCATGAAATCTTCAGATGGGCAAGTAGAGAAAAGTTAAAGGCTCTTGGTTAGCCATATGGGTGCTATGAATAAGAAAAAAAAAAAATCTCAGTGCAGCTCCAACATGTAGACTCGGGCATTGCCCTGTAGGTGAAGTGGACCCACAGAGGCATACCCAGGTGGATCCCGGGTCAGACACTCTTCTCAGCGTTCGGGCCCCATGCACCTGTTTGACTCCTGGCCAGGTTAATGCCTTTCTTTCTTTCTCTTTGTGTTTCTGTCTCTGTTTCTCTCCCTCTCTCATTTTCTGCAAAGCTCGAAGCCGTTACTCACTCCGCTGAGTTGCATCACTGACAAGCTGAAGCTCCACCAGCAGGCTTGCAGGTTTTGATTAGTTCAGACTCCTTTATTTCTTTCAACTTGGGAGGAGGGAAGGCTTTGTTTCTCAAGCAAATAGCAGGAAAGGGCTGTCTGGTCCTAGTGCCTTCACATTTTCTGCAGCAGATGGACTCCCATAGGGGTGAGTAGGGAAAGGAGGGGGGGAGAGGGAGAATTGCAAAATTCTTTGACAAACCATGTTACTTTTCATTATGACTGCTATCAGTATTTTTATGAATCACATGGTATTTATTGGGGGAATTGTGCAAACCATAGAATTTTACTTATCATATCCCTTGACTGGAATTACTACCTCCTTTAGGCAAACCTCAATTAAAGATGCAGGAAAGGATGAGTAAAGTACAGGGGTTAATGATGTGGGTGTGGGTGTTGTTGAGTTAGTTCTGGTCTTTCCTTCTGTATTTTGTACTGAGTCTGTTTTGTTTTACATAAGGCCAAAATAATACTTTGCCAGGATAGATCTGTGCAAACTTGCTTCTGTTTAGGGTCCTCTGGGGCTTCCATTTGTCCAACCCTCTGTGGCTGAAGCAGATTTTATTCTTTGTCCTTTGGCAGTATATACAGGAAAAAACCTCAGGGGTTGATTATAGCTTTTGAGACACTTCTTATCTACAGCATTTTCTTACTGAGGTGTATTTGTATATGAATTCAATGGGAAAGCCATTGAACTCAGCTCTTAAATGCTGCATAGATGGAAAATCATTAATGTTCGTCATTTATATGTGTAACTATAGAACTGACGGGATATTTTAGCCTATTTGTTGCTGATTACTCACAGAGGAGATCGTTGGAACAGAAATTGGCTAATTGTCCAGTCATATATTGATCTGAGGCCAAATGTAAGAATGAGCCTCTGCTTTAAACTAGTTTAACACTGAGTTTAGTCTAGTTTTTTCCTCCCGCCTCCAACAGTTGTATGAGTTGTTACTGGCACAGTAATGTGGTGCCAGGGTGGGAGGTTCTGTATAAACATTGAAGTGAACAGAACAGAAAATCCATCTTGTCATCATGTAAGGAAACAGGAAGAAAGAACTAGATGTGAACTGTCAAGGAACTGGAGGAACCCTGATTTACCTGACCTTGTGCCTTGTGCTGGGGTGTGGGGCTGTGCTCACACTCCAGAGTGCTGTCTGGAGGACTGGAGGACTGTCGTCTGGAGACAGCAGCATGTTTATTTGCCTTTGGTCTGGTCACTCCTAGGAATCTCCTCAGAGAGGAGCTTATCCCATAGGTTCTGAGGTGCCAGTTGCCTCGTTTCTGTCATTACTATTCCACCCAATATCTGAAGCCATTTCTGAGGCCCAGGACATGGGGACACCCTACAAGTGAGACTTAATCATGATGGTCTTTATCTGTTTGTGCTTCAGTGACTCAAACCCTCTGGATTGAGTCCATGCTTATGTTTCTAGTCCTCGTCATGCTCTGTGCCAAATGATGCCATCCTCTGTAACTTGGAGAGCTGAAATAGTCACCTTCATCTCCACCTCTAAGTAGTTTTATGGTCACTTTTTGAGATGCTTTCCAGATAGTTCATGTTTTTGTATAGGTACATCAGTTATCATCTCCCTGTACAAAGGGATACACAAAGTATTCTCTTGTGCTCTTAGGTGAGAAAGAATAAAATTTCTCTTGTACAGTAGAGTTGGCTGTTCAGACCCCAGTTTGAATCCTAGTTCATATACCTATCAGGCAAGTTTCTTACTTCTCTGAAACTTAAGTTTTATTACTCACCAAATAGTGATACAAGATTTATCGCTTAGGATCACCATGAAGATTAAATGAGATACTTTATGTAAAGTGCTCAGACAGGGTTGGCCTACACCATATGCTAAATAGATTGTTGCTGATCTTATGAAGCTAACTTTTTTTTGCAAAAATTGTATATGCATATATAATTTGAATTAAGCCAGCAAGCCCTGGCTTAAAGGAGTCAAGTAAATAAAAATCTAAACTTATAAATGGACTATTTGCTTTACAAAATGGATTACCACAAACATTTAGAATAAAAAACCCTTGAAATATTTCAATAAGTTAATACTCATATGACATAAAGTACTTAACACTGTGCCTAGTGCATAGAAGTCCTCAGTACATGTTGTTGTTGTTATTATTCTGTGGATTTATAATGAATATTTATAAAGCTAAAAGCAATTGTGAGCCATTCACAACAAGCCAATAAGCCAAAAAATTGAAAATAACTATTCAATTATAATGTTGGAAAATAGAAAATGTTAAATTATATATAACTAGGTTTGAAAATGTTCTTTTCCAACGGGGTCATGGGGATAAAAGCAACCAGAAAGATCCTTCAGAAGGAACTGTTCCTAAAAACATTCCATGACATCCTTAAATACCATCCCAAGAAAAGACCATGATTTTGTCCTATTTCAAGACCTCCAGATTAATCCAACTTCCTTGTTTTTGGGTATCCTTTCCTTCGAGTGATATTTCAAGTCTGACTACAAATGCCCGAACTTAATGAATTATGATAGTGATATTACATTGTTTAGTTCCTACAGTCTCTCTCTCAAATCCTTTATGGGAGCAGGGTGGAGATAAAATAAAACAAAAATGATAAATATCTGTAGCCCACAATCCCCACTTTGCTTCAGAGAAAGCTACAGAAGTAGATGTCTTGATATTCATAGGTGCCATCTAAACACCCAGGAAATAGGGGCCTCCCCGGTGGTGCAGCGGTTGAGCGCTGGGTTGCGAAGCTGCCCGCAGCCTCTCTGTGGCGCTGGTTCAATCCCCGGCTGCTCCCCGGCCACCGGAGGAGGGTCCCACATGGCGCGCAGACCTCTCCTGCCTCCCGCTGCTCCCCTCAGCAGTGTACTTCGTCCTTTTGCTCCCCGCTCTGGCTCTGGTGAATTCTCTCACCCTCCTGCGCTTCTGACTGTACCCAGTGCTTGTATAAACAAACAAATAAATAAATCTTTAAAAAAAAAATAAACACTCAGGAAATATCCTCAACTTTGAGTAGTTTTAAATACTCTAACAAGAACAAGAGCAACAGTTACGGGCTTATGACTGAACAATGTATTATTTTTGTACAGTTGACTAATAGGGTCCACCTTACTGTAACGAGCTTAATTCATATTTAGGTGAATTATAAAACTCAAACACTATTTTAAGAAGCCAGTCTCATGATGTTCCAGTACAGAAGAGGCCCTGTAGGAGTTGTTGCTCCTCCCCTGCTCTACTTATGATATGCATGGCCTTATCCTATAATCATCTGTATTTAATAGCACCTCCACTCCATGAGTGAATTTGTACATTATCTCATTTCATCTTATGGTCCTAAAAGACTGCTCAATAAACAGAGGTAGCCAAAGTTCTTTTTCACTGATTCTGTTCAAGAGCAAGGTGTGGCAAGGCAAGGACCAGCACACCTCACAACAACCCAAACAACTGGGTGTTTTTATCATTGTCATAATATTATCACCCATGGCATTTTTGATGTTCAAAGCACTTTTGAGTCTTGACACAAAGATTATAATTATTTTGTAATTAAATTACAAAATGCTACGGAAATAATTACTGCCTTCAAAAATATACCTGTAGTAATTATTCTACTCTGAAAAGAAACACAACTGTTTATTGATTCTGATTCTTTGCTAATGGGTCAGAGTGTGAGCTATTGTTTGTCTCCTGAAGAAGACAATGGAATAGCCCTGTCCGCCTATGGAGGGGAGGAGCTTCACCTGCCGTCTGTCCACCTTTCAGCACACACTAGGCGTGAGGGATGTACACAGGCACCTTTCCGTGGTCTTGGTCCCTGTGCCCATGGACCTTTCTCATGCTTTCTGAAGGTCTCTTAGAGACTTCGGGCATTTGAATCAGAGACACAAGGGCAGATGCTGGCTGGCTGCCTTGGTTATTCTGGAGCAAGGCCACTACAGG